AGCCTGGCACTGTGCTGGGGGGGGGCTGTGGCTGCTCATGCCCCCCCTGGGCCCCATTCAGCAGCACTGAACCTATATGAAACATCAGCATGTCTATGTGTAAGGATGGGCATCGATGGGGTGAGGACAGGGGGACACAACCACCATACTGCAGTGCCGTTTCCCCCCCGAGTCCCATACAGGATGGGGCAGGGAAGCATGGCCTAATGGGGGAGGGGGCACTGGTGAGGGGGAAGAACCCTGATCCCAGGAAATCTCTTTGTAGAGAGATTTCCATCTGTCCACCTACCCATCTTCCATCCACCCCTGCTCATCCTCTTCAGCCACCCTGGCATCCTCTTCATCACTCCATCCTCCCACCCATCCTGCCTCTTCTTCCACCCAACCAGCTCAGCCTTCCATCCACCCACTCATTCATCCATGGCTAAACTTCCTCCAGTCCACTCAAGTGCAGCCTCCCTCTCCATCTGCCCATCCACTTCACTCCACCCAAGCTGCCCAAGAAGCACCGTACATCCAGCCTCAGCTTTCATCCATCCACCTCGCCATCAGGTCCATCCATTCATTTACCCATCCACTCACTCTTTTCTTTCCATCCACACAATGTCACAGATTCACAAAATTACAGAATGGTTGAGGTTGGAAGGGACCTCCGGAGATCATCTAGTCCAATGCCCCCTGCTCAAGCATGGTCACCTAAAGCACATTGCACAGGAATGTGTCCAGATGCCTTTGAATATATCTGGGGAAGGAGACCCCCCCCAGCCTCTGTGGGCAACCTGTGCCCGTGCTCAGTCACACTCATAGTGAAATTTTTTTCTTTATACCTATCTGAAATTTCACTTTTGGCAGCTTGTGTCTGTTCCCTCTTATCCTACCACTGCAGATCTCCAAGAAGAGTCTGCCTCTGTCTTCTCTATCCGGCCGTTACTGTTGCCTTTCCCCCACCCCCCCCCCCCAGTCTTCTCCAGGCTGAAGAGTCCCAGCTCTCTCAGCCTTTCCTCATAAGAGAGATTCTCCAGTCCCTTTATCATCTTAGTAGGCCTTTGCTGGACTCACTCCAGGAGTTCATGTCTCTCTTGTATTGGGGAGCCCAGACCAGGATGTAGCACTCCATCCAGGTGAGGCCTCATCAGGGTTGAGTAGAGGGGGAGGATCACCTCCCTCAACCTGCTGGCAACATTCTTCCTAATGCAGCCCAGGATACCATTGGCCTTCTAAGACTCTTGTCCCATCCATTCATCTGCTATCCATCCATCTTCTCCATCCATCTATCCACCTATCTGCCCATCCACTCAACACACGCCGTTCATCCATTGTCATCTATCTATCCATCCACCCAACATGTGCCATCCATCCTCTCTGTCCATCCAGCTATCTGTACATCCACTTAACACACACTATCCATCCATCCAACCACTCTGTCCCATCCATCTACCTTGCCTCCATGTCTCCAAAGCCTCAATGAGCCCATCCCAGTGATCCCTACACCCACATGGCAGCTCTTCACCATGCATCCGTTGCTATCTCTTCCAGATGACGTCAGCCACAAAGGTGTACTACAGCCAGACCACACAGACTGACAGTCGCCCCCTCATTGGCTCGGGCCTGCGCAAGCGCCGGGTGATGACCAAGGACGGCCGGAGCAATGTGCGGATGGAGCACATTGCTGACAAGCGCTTCCTGTACCTCAAGGACCTGTGGACAACCTTCATCGACATGCAGTGGCGGTACAAGCTGGTGCTCTTCTCCGCCACCTTTGCTGGCACCTGGTTTGCCTTTGGCGTCATCTGGTACCTGGTGGCCGTGATGCACGGGGACCTGCTGGAGTTCGACCCACCAGCCAACCACACACCATGCGTCATGCAGGTGCACACACTCACCGGTGCCTTTCTCTTCTCCCTCGAGTCCCAGACCACCATTGGCTATGGCTTCCGCTACATCAGCGAGGAGTGTCCGCTTGCTATTGTCCTGCTTATCACCCAGCTGGTCCTCACCACCATCATGGAGATCTTCATCACCGGCACCTTCCTGGCCAAGATCGCCCGGCCCAAGAAGCGAGCCGAGACCATCAAGTTCAGTCAAAATGCTGTGGTGGCCCAGCACAATGGCAAGACCTGCCTCATGATCCGCGTGGCCAACATGCGCAAGAGCCTCCTCATCGGCTGCCAGGTGACGGGCAAACTCCTCCAGACCCACCTCACCAAGGAGGGCGAAAGCGTCCGGCTCAACCAGGTCAACGTGGAATTCCAGGTGGACACGTCTTCTGACAGCCCCTTCCTCATCCTGCCCCTCACCTTCTACCATGTGGTGGATGACGCCAGCCCCTTCCGGGACATGGCCCTGCGGACAGGCGAAGGCGACTTTGAGCTCGTGGTGATCCTCAGCGGCACTGTAGAGTCCACCAGCGCCACATGCCAGGTGCGCACATCCTACCTGCCCGAGGAGATCCTCTGGGGCTACGAGTTCACACCGGCCATCTCCCTCTCAGCCAGCGGCAAGTACGTGGCTGACTTCAGCCTCTTTGACCAGGTGGTGAAGGTGTCAGCACCCTGCTGCATTCACGAGACCGTCCGGTTTGGAGACCCCGAGAAGGTCAAGCTGGAGGAGTCCTTCCGGGAGGCAGAGGAGCGAGAGGGAGCACCGCTGAGCGTCCGCATCAGCAACGTCTGAACTGCCGGCGCCTGGAGATGCCACTGGCTCTTCCCCCCATCCTGGCTCTCACCATCCTCCCGGGCCTTTTCCCCCTTCCTCATCGCATGGGGCAGCTCCCTCGGGCCCCAGCCTGGGGCTGCCGAGAGCCTTGTGGCCTCTTGCTTGCCGGTGGGACAGTGTCCCCTACCCCAGCCCAGCCAGGGACAGGTCTGTCCTCACTCCCTCCCCCAACCTAATGCTCTGCTGGTCCCAGCTAGAAAGATCCTCAGCCCCCGACGCCACCTACAGGGATGGCGCCGGTATTGTGCTTCAGAGGACGGTGGGCACAACCCTGCTGGGAGATGCTGGCCCCTGGGGGGACATGGACACCTCCGGCCCTTGGGCACATCTATGGCCACAGTGTCTGGCTGTGGAGGTGCCACGTTGCTTGGAGGAAGGCCCAGGATCCTGCCATGGTCTGGCCATGGCCTGGCCAACCTGCTCGCTATGCACGTGCACGGGGAGGGGAAGCTCTGACTGCTCCACACGGGGCCAGGCAGAGGAGCTGCCCCTGCTGCCGCCTGGGGACCTTGCGGTAGAGCCAAACAGGCTCAGGTAGGGGGTACTGACCCCGGCCTGCAGCTTAGCCACGGCCCCCAGCAGGCTGAGAGCGGGATGAGGCCGGGGGCCCCATCTCACCCCACACACCCAGGGCAAGAACAGGGCTGCTTTGCCAGCCCCCGGCCCCCAGCATACCATGGGTTGGGGGCACCCGAGCCTCTGGGGGCCACAGGGCAAGTCCCCATGGCCAGGGTGTTGCACGTGAGTGTGCACGCACAAGCGGCAGGGCTCCTGCGCCAAATGGGGAAACTGAGGCAGGAAAAGCACCCTGTCGGTTCTAACCCTCCAAGCCAAACCAGGGATGTTCCCAGAGCCAGGACCTTCTCCGAGTGGGGCCCTCTTGCCTTCCCAGGGACAGCCACCGAAAATTGGACATGGCTGCAGCACCAGGCCCCAAGGCAGGGGACGGGGCCCCGGGCCTGCAGCCACGCTGGAGCCACCTCCATGGCAGCCCTCGAGCAACCTCGCTGCTGCTAACGTAGAGCCTCTGCCTATTAACGCCTCCTTATCCCGGGGAAAACCACCGCTGCTCTGGGGCTTGGGTTGTAGGGCCTCTTAATCCCTCGCTGCACTGAGTCCAGGTTACATACATATATATATATATATATTTCCACTAAAATATATATACACATATATATATAAATTGGGAAGAAACGTTTTACCCACTGGAAAGACTTGCTCACTAAATGCCCTGCTTCTGCCAGGGGCACATCGTTTTTTCTTGCATTTAGGAAAAAAAAAATTACTAAATAAAACATATATTCGCGGTTGGGAAGAGCTCTGCTGCATCCACTCACTCCAGGACTAGAGGATGCTCAGGGATGGGACTAGTGACACTAGGAGGGGCCCAGGGGTCCCTGGCCACAGGGGTCCAGGTTAGGCTGTCCCCGTGTCACTGCTGCCATGACCAGCGTCTCCACGGTGGCTGGAAGGGTGCACGTTCTCCTCCCACTCACAGCTTAGCCCCCAAAACCAGGGAGGCTTGAGGTCAGGAGAGCCTGTCCCCCCCTCCCCAGAAATGGCACCAGGAACTCTGTACAAGGACACACGTTTATTTAATGCCAGCAATGGACATCAGAAGTCATCACACTAGTGGTTACGACTATTTTAAGAGAGGAAACAGCTCAGCCCCAACGGCCTGGTGTGCCCAGTTAAAGGGGGGCAACTGGGACCAGTGGCCATTCCAGCCTCAAGAGCAGTCACGGGTGACATAGACCCGGCCCCCCAGGATAGGACGCAGGGTTACATCAGCTCCCAGTCCCAGATCCATCCCCTCCGAGGAGCATCTCAGACCTCATCCCGGGAGGAGCCGAGCAGGACCAGAGGCCCTGGGCCTCCTGGGAGCGGGGCAAGGATACAGCAGAGAAACCCACGGCGGCTGTGGCACCAGCCTCAACACAGCCGCTAGCAGCAGCTGGTGCTTTGCAACAAGCAGAGCAGTGGGAGGAACGAGCCCAGCGCTGGGTACAGGGGAGAGGCAGGACCGGTCCCTCTGAGTCACGGCCAGGACGTGGGTCCCGCTGGGACGTAGGGGAAGGGAATAAGGCATTGGGTTGCTGGGGGAAAGATGAGACCTACCCTGAAAAACCAAGGGGGTCTGAAGTGACACTGAAAAGGCACCATGTGACAAAAAAAAAAAAGTTAAAATCATGGCATAGCTACAGTAATTCAGAAACATTTACAACAGTTCATGGTGAGGGAGGAGCAGCAGCTCCTGCAGACTTCACACCAGGAAGGACGATGTCTGTTTGAACTCTCCCTGTGGATGGAAAGGGGGGGACGTCAGTGACGATAGGTAACAGCGACTGGGCATCGCATGGCACGAGGCAGTGGGGCGCCCACGGGGTGCAGCAAATTGCCCAATACCCACAGGTACCCCCAGGCTGTGGGCACCGGGGCACACCCCAGGGGGGAATTGGTCCTTTCGAGCTGCTAAGATTTGCTTGGAGAAGGGGGTTCAGGTACCCGGCGGCTCTTCCCTGCGGCTAGCTCAGGAACGAGCCCTGGATGGCAGTACCGACCGGCTGGGCCTGGCCGGAGGGGAAAAGCGCATAGACACTGCTCTTCCACCCAGCCTGCGCTCGCTGTGCCGCACACCATCACCCCAGTGATCCGAAAGCCCCAGTCTTCCTCTCTTTGCACGCTGCAGGGTTTCCCCCCCTCTGTACTTTGCATAGTAAGTGTTAAAAAGGAGCGAGTCTCCCTGTGAACAGACCGGGACAGTGAGCCAGTTTACAGGTAGCTGGGGAAACCCTCAGGCTGCCGATCTCCAGCCCGCGAGGGGCCCCTGCCGTCGGACGCAGGGACAGGCGATGTCCACAGGAGGCCTGGCCACTGCCCCCCAGTGGGACCAGTTCCCAGTCCCCGAGGAGCCCAGCTCAGCTTGTGCTGAATGCTTGAGAAGCCACCAGCAGCACGAGATGTTACCAAGCACAGAGCATCTGCTGCCAGCTCGGGGCTCATAGCAGCCCTGTAGCTCTTGAGGACCCTCAGAGAAAGGCTTCCCCTGGAGCCCAGGACAGCAACGGCACCCATGAGCCCAGGATGACACTGGAGTCCCCGCTCGTCCCTTTGGGCACAGGGTTTTAAAATGAAGAAGAGGGCTCAGCAGCCTGAGGACAAAGGCCAAGCACAGCCATCAAGAAGTATTTGAGGGGAACTCCCCAGGGAATGTGTCCTGGGGTAAGAACACGTCCTGACAAGATGTGACATGACTGTGCAGTGCCCATCACCACCCCTCTTCATACCCCACACTGAGCAAACATCGTTGCCAGGATGAACAGCTCCCAGCCAGCATACTCACTTCGCTCCGGTGCGAGGGCTGGCTGTAAATGACCTTCTTGCCGGCGGTGCTGGAGAAGGAGAGACGTTAGGACCCCTCACACCACCCAAAGCCCCTCGGCCGCCCCCAAGCACCTGGTGACGCCAGGCCACGTGCCCAGCCTGGCAGGAGTGCTGGCACCCAGTGCTAGGCACAGCCCTCTGCCTGCTCCCGCAAGGAGACACTGGGCTGGGAGAGGAATCACTGTGCCCGGGCAAACCCCAGGGAGACACCACTCATTCCCATTAGCAGAGATCCAGAGGGACCAGCAGGGAAGGAATCAGCAGTATTACAGGTTCACTTACTCTCTTCTCTCTGAAAAGAAGAAACAGAACAGGATTGTCAGGGGATGGCAGAGAAAACAGACACTGGCACAGACGTGAGCAAGCCATGGGGAGCCACGGCCAACGCCATGCGCCTGGAGATCAGCGTGCAGCGCAGTACTCACTGCTGAAGAAGCCCCGCGTGTAGGCAAACCAGATGCCAAAGGCCACAAGTGCCAGCACCATCAGCAGGACCACGACTGCAGCCACGATGCCGCCCACGTTGACTTCGCCTGGCAGAAGAGAACAGGGCTGTCGGAGGGTAGTTGGATCCCAACCCAGGGCACAAGATTGGCTTATTCTGGGCACGACACGGAAACCCTCAGCTCAACACCCACAAGTCCAGCACGAACACACAGAAGTGCATTTAAGAACCATGACAGGGGTCAGAGGGAACCTCTGGGGTCTCTGGTCCAACCCCAGCTCAAAGGAGGGCCTACATCAAAGCTGGATCCAATGCAGAGTTGGATCAGGTTGCCGTAACCAGGCCCAGGCAAGTTTCAAGCATCTCCAAGGACACCTTTACCCCATTCCCCCTCCATAGCATCAGTCCACATGCTCATTTCAGCCCAGGACACCATATGGCAGGGTCATTAACAGCATAGCTAATTAATGTGTCTCCGAACCCCGAGCACTGGAAAGATAAACTAGTTTTGGGGTAGTGTTTTAACCCAGACACTTGCATACCCCAGAATATGATTTGTGCTAGACATTCAAAACAGACAAGGCCCTAGAAGGGCCCCACATAGGGACAGACATATGCTGCCTGCTCCCACTATTTCTTACTGGCTTCCATGTGGATGGCCTCTGATCTCTGGGAGGACCCCACGTTATTCGACGCCTCGCAGTAGTAGTCGCCGGTGTCGAAGCTGCTTACAGGCTCAAAGGTCTAGATGGGAGAGAAGACGTGATGGTAGCCCGGGGAAAACGCTCGGGTTCCCGGAGCTCAGGGCCCACCCTGTGCTCACCAGCACCCCCGTGGTGGAGTCTATGGTATAGGAGGAGTTCCTGAACGTCAGGCTGGTCTTGGGGTCTGCGGGCATCAGCATGCTGTTCTTGTACCACTGGAAGGTGGGGGGCGGCGAGCCATCTGTTTCGGTGCATCGCAGCAGGGCCTTGCTGCCGATGGTGGCCGAGGTGGGCACGTGAGCCACAGGCTTGGAAGGAGGCACTGCCGGGAAAGGGCCGCATGAAGGCTCACCCCAATGCCTTGGCAGGGCGTGCAGGGCTGAGACCTGCTCAGTGGGTCACAACCAGCTGCCCTGGTGATGGGAAGGAGCAGGGGGCTCGAAGCCCAGTCACCAGAAGCAGGTTGTCACCCTGCTTTGTGTCTCATCTTTGAGGCACCCAAAGCCACACCAAAAGCTGGTGCCCAAAGACATGCCAAAGAAGGAAGAAGAGCTCAATCCCTCCCTGATCCCAGAACTAACCAAATACAGCCTGGAGCACGGTCACCCTCACATTTAACATTCACCCACTGAACAAGTGTTTTATAGGGGGAAGCATCAAACTGAGGAGAGTCCTGGCTGCCAGGGGCATCTCACAGAGAAATGGACCAAGCCAGCCCCATCAGCTGCATCTCATGTCATCGAAAGCAGTGTCCCCACCAAGCCACCATGGGCCTGTTATTGACCCTTAGGCTCAGGGGTCTCCCGAGGTTCAGAAGGGCCATGGGCTATAACGCTCCCTAAAGCTCTGCTCATGGCCAGCATCATGCACAGGAGCCGCTCAACTGGAAATGCTTGGTTAACCCGACCCTGCAGGCTCCAGCCCGACCCCGCTGCCAACATGCGGGAGCTGTTTCAGCATCCTTCATTCGGCCAGGTTGAGTCCCCTCCTAAGTGACATTCAGGGACAAGCTAAGGCAGGAGGTATCAGGGCAGGCTCTCCAGGACAAAAAAAAAACAGAAAAACCCAAAAACCACATCTTCCCAACAGGATGAGCGAGAACAAGCAGGACTCGGTGGCTGCGAGAGTGTGGAAGTCCATACCTTGGACAATGAGGTTCACTTCCGACTTGGCGATCTCGCTGTTCTCCCCCACCACTTCGCAGATGTACTTGCCCGTGTCAGCCCGCGTCACCGTTGTGAAGTGGATCATGGTGGGCGAGAACTGGACGCGGGTTTTATATGGCTCTGCGGAGAGAGGCCATGTAGGCAGCGAGCTCTGGTGGATGGAGGGATGGCCGTCCCGGTATCACCAGCAATAAAACCAGTGCCCACGGGATGCGCCAGCCAACGCAGGAGCGAACTGCAAACCTGAGGGTGCCTGGTTCTCCGGCACCAGGGGGACACCCTGGGATGCCCGTGGGAGGCTGAGTACCTGTAAGCTGACCCCCATAGTAGAACAGCACAAGCGATGAGCCCTTCTGAAACTTCCACTCGATGCGAGGGTTGTTCCACTTGGAGCGATATGCCGAGCAGGGGATGTCCGCAGCTGGCAGGAGAGAGTGGATGCTGAGCGGCTGTGTGCCCAGATCTCACGTGCAAACAGACATGCAGCTCTGGGAGCAGCTTTGAAATGGGAAACCCCTCCAAGACAGGATTAAGCCCCAGCATAGGGGAATTCTACCCCGAGCATCAGATGAAGCTTACTCTGAGGGTTCAGAGGCCTCAAGGTGAACCTGAGGCACAGGAAAATGCTTTCTCATCCAGCTCCCAAAAGTGTCAGGAGAATAAGACTGCAGCATGTGAGCTTGGACATGCTCCAGATACACCTTCCAGCCAAAAACCAGGGTGCCCTGCCTTCGAGACAGGCTAAATACGGGAAGTTTGCTCTCAGATCCTTCAAATCAATACTGAATTGCTGGAGCACGATATTTGAGGGCTTTGTGGAGAAGTTATGACTTAGCCCGCGTGTCCGAGCCCAGGCGCTGCAGCGTCGCACAGACCATGCAGGAAGGGAATGGCTCCGAGTCACGGGTTAGGTCAGCATGTGGCAGCCCTGAGCCCTCCCAGCCAGCACTGCACTTACATTGGTTTTCAGGCACTTCTTTCGTCTCAGAGGTTATCTGGGCTCCTACCAGCGACCCTGAGGGGAGGAAAAGGCACAACTGAGACATGCGGAGGGCAAAACGCAACCAAGAGATGCTCAGAGATGCTCACCACGGAGAGGTCCAGTGCCACTGGCTGCTGGAGCAATATAGGGGGCCTGTGGAGACATTACAGCTTTCCCTTCCCTGGAAGGGAGACAGCCCCGATCAGCCAAGCAACGGGGAACAGCCACGTTTTCTCCCCTGCCCTCACCCTGTCGCGTTGGCTCAGGATGTTCCCAGGGGTCAGTCTCTGCCCGTGGCAGCACCAGGGTCCACACAGGAGATGGCACGAAGGTTGATGCCTCGTGGGTCCTCTGCAAAGCCTATTCGAAGCAAATGCTGCCATCTCACTGCACACCTCCGGACAGGCAGTGCAGGAGAGGGGGGTCCCCAGGACGAGCTCTCGTCTGTTGTGATGGGATGTCCCTGAGACGTGCCCCATCACCAGCCCCGATCAGCCAAGCAACGGCGATCAGCCAAGCAACGGCTATGTCCCCACGCACAAGCGCCTGAGATACAGGGACTGAGAGCCAGAAAGGGCCACGGACAAATTATCTTGCCAGAGCAGCCTATGGCAAAGCCCCTGCCCCCCGCCCCCAACCTGTATCTCCACCCAGCTCACCCCACACTCCAGTTTCTCCTCTCAGCTTACATTACCTTGATTTGCTTGTTAATCAGTTTACAAATGTAGTTAGCTTTTAACAGCACCTCTTGACCTCGAGGCCCAGGGTTTATCAGCACAGCCCAGTTGCCAGCAGAGCCAGAAGCAGCCCGACTCGGCGCTGCCTGTGCTAGGCGCCACGCATTGGGTGCTGGTGGGCTCCGGCAGTGACTGCGTGCCGGCGGTGGGGATGCGCACCAGGAAAGCATGGAGCATCGAGAAGTTCTCCAAGGCCATGTGTTTGGGGAGCTCCAGATTCTCCCAAATGTCCCAAAAACAGGCCCAGGCTGCAGGGTGGCATCCCTGGGGAGCAGGGGCCAGTGGCAGTGCGCCCAGCTGGAGGGGACAAGGTCATTGGGAGGCAAGGAAGGGTGTCCATGGGGAAAGAGCCAGCACAGGGCACCCCTATAAGATCCAACAGTACCAGCTGGGTGCATTTCTTCATACTCTGAGATCAGGAGAGATTTGGGGGGCAGACCCTGGAAGTGATTTCAAAGCAGCAAGGAAGATTTTAGCCAAAATCTTGCTGCCTCGTAGCCTGTCTGCATTCATGTCCTGGTGCTATGGGAAGGGGAGGACATCGGGACAGTCACATGACACAGCAGTCTGGGATCCCAAAATGGAGTCGAGACCCAGTCTCTGCTGCCACTGCCAAGCTGGGGAGGCTACTGGGAGCCTCAAGGCCATGGCAACAGCCCCGAGGCCATGGCAACAGGCTGCAGGACAACAGTGACAGCCCTGAGGCCATGGTGATGGGCCGCAGGGCAGAAAGGCCAGCATGTTGTGCGGCACTGCCTGCCATCAAGGGGCCACAAGAGCTGGAAAGACCTGTCCTACCTGCTCCAGCGCCGCCCCTGCCGTCATTCCCTGCCCGAGTTTCACAGGAAACCAGCCAGGGTGGCCTCTAAGAGTGTTTCACAACACCCTGCCCTCTATGCATACACACACAAACATCCCTTCTCTCTACACCCGTGCATGTACCTCCCCTTAACAGCCATGCACACACCTCCTCTTCCCTTTTCACACATGCCTCCCCTTTACACATGCATGCACTCCTCCTCTTCTAGCTGCTTTTACAAGGACTTCTAAAGCCTAATTTTTCCAGGCCCAGCACACACAGAGCTACCAAGAGGAAACCCCCAAGCAACATGTCCCGCCATGCTCAGCCCTCAGGATTAATGGGAAAAGTAAACCAGCAGCTGCAGAGACCTTGTTCAGGGCTGCCCGCAGTCCCCATCTGCGACAACCGGCAGCTTGACGTAACGCAGCCAGAAACCTGGTGTCTGCTCCGGGCTCCCTGGTGTTTTTGTCCAGCGCCTCGATGGAGCAGTCGCACACTGGGCATGGGGGCCAGGCAGTGCACCCTCAGAAACAGAGCACCAGAAAACCCCTCTTTATCCCCCACTCTGTTCCCTGCCACCCCCTGTTCAACGGGGAGCGTGGAGGGAGAGGTCTGCCCATACGCTAGCTGCTTGATGCACAAATGGCTCAGGACTGCTGGATTTCAACAGCCCCAGGCCCAGAGATCCCGCATCCCCCACAAATCCCCCGTTGAGGATTTTTCAGCAACGATCGACCCCGGGAGGTGCTGGGAGCCAGCAGTGACCAGGTTTCGGTCTTCCCCAGAGGCAGCGCAAGGCAAAGAGAAGAGACTGGTGCAAGCGTCGCCCGCTCAGGCCAGAGTCGTACCTGAGCTGCAGCGAGGCTGGATCGGCCCTGGTGATGGGGCACGTCTCAGGGACATCCCATCACAACAGACGAGAGCTCGTCCTGGGGACCCCCCTCTCCTGCACTGCCTGTCCGGAGGTGTGCAGTGAGATGGCAGCATTTGCTTCGAATAGGCTTTGCAGAGGACCCACGAGGCATCAACCTTCGTGCCATCTCCTGTGTGGACCCTGGTGCTGCCACGGGCAGAGACTGACCCCTGGGAACATCCTGAGCCAACGCGACAGGGTGAGGGCAGGGGAGAAAACGTGGCTGTTCCCCGTGCCCTGCGAGACACCCAGCTCGCTGCTTTGCCATGCCACTGGCAGGATGTGGTTGTCGACGGGGCAACCAAGGGCCAGCGGCTGGTCCCTCCAGCCAGTGCGGGCTGGGGCCAGCCAGGGGCCGGCGGCTGCCCCCCCCAGCCAGTGCGGGCTCGTGCTACCAGTCCGCCCCTCAGGAGCATGTTCATGGAGCCGAGGGGGTACCGGTTTCCCAGCTCACAGGAGCAAAACGCCTGGGTGCTGCAGCCAGCCCGTTTGACTTGTCAACAAGGCTGTTTACAAAGGCAGCAGGGAGTGAGGCTCAAGGCCGCAATTGCTACCAGAGGAAGCAGCTTGCAAACCAGCCCAATGTTGAAACGGGCAGCACGAGGGCACAGAGCAGCAGCCGGGCAGAGCCACCCTCGCAGCGAGAGCCACAGCAGAGTTTCGGGCTCTGGGGATGTGGAGGAGGATGACCGTGACGGGTCGGTGAGTCATGCTGCAGGGAAAGGCTGGGCTGGCTGCAGCGCCCGGGAACTGGACCTGGTTTGGCCTCGAGTCGCTCGAAGGGAGCGTTACCTTTGCACCCCGAGCAGCTGCCAAATGAAACCCAAGCAGGGCTGAGCAAAGCGGCTTGGCTTCCCGAGGAAGGGCAGGTGAACAGCCCCCGAGATCGAAGCAGACGGAAATTGGAGCCAGCACGTGCATGGGGACAGCCCTTCCCCTGCGCGGAGTCCCCGGGCCGTCCCCGCCTGCCCCAGGCGCGTTTTGCAGCTCACATGGACACACCAAGGAGGCAGATGCTGCCCAAAGTGGGGAGCAGTGCTCAGCCTCTGTTCCCTAGCAAAACCCGTGCGGTTCTCTGCAGTCACGACAGGGCCCAACACCAGAAAGAGATACCAAGGTGAAACACGCAGGAGACCAACAAGAAGTCACAAGACCAGGTGTCAGGAGCCACAGCTCCAAAACACAAAGCATCCAAGAGGGGGGTGCGTTTCAAAACGCCAGCTCCCAAAAAACGCTGGGCAAATGCAAACCAAACAGGCAGCAGCGGGGCCGGCCGGGCCGGTCACCACCTTCATGCGATGCCAAGCGAACGACCGCATGATTTATGGTCAGCTTTGCCGGGATTAGCGCCACACAAAGGGAAGGGCTCCACACCCTCCCGCTTCCACACAAGGACTGGAAACTTCGGCGCACGCAACAGGCACCCACCGCGGCGTGAGCACCCAGGAACGCCCCCCCAGCAACGCGGGACGTGCTCCCTTCCTGGGCTGGTGGCTTTGGCTCCCCTCTGTCGCGTTTCTGCCGTGCGGAGATGGCTCAGCCAAAGCTCCCGATTCAGAGAGCAGCCCCAGCTTCCTGCAGGAAATGTGTGCTCCTGGAGGGAGGAAGGGAGACCAAACACACCCTGCGCCTGGGCCCGCGGCCAGCTCCCCATCCCATCCCATGCGGTGCAGCCCTTTCAGGGGGCACTGCTCAAGCCCCAGGACAGGAAAAAACCCTCAGCTGCCGGATGCAATGACATCCCCACACAGCAGAGTGGCAGCTGAGCTTGGAAAAGGCCTGTGCTTGCTCCTAGGGTGGGGGGGGTACATTCCCATCCCTGTGACAGACGCCAGCGTTGGGATGTTTTTGGCACCGCAGCCGTCACGTTAAGAAACCCCCCCAAGGAGCATTGCACCCTT